TGGCAGAGACAATATTTCAACATTTTCTGTCCTAACTGTAAATCTAGCCTCGGCCATCAGGTTAGAAAATGAAGAGAAATTGGCTGACACTAGTGTCGTTATGTGGACCCACTGCTGTTTTTTTAAAGCTGAAATGTTTATGTTTGTGATAAATGCCCAAGCAGAAATTAAACTGAAAGGAAAATTACAGCAGGACAAATGTCCACTTTAGGCTAATTACAGATGTATGAATCCCCACACAAATATCCCAAATTATTCACTCCAGAGGAACAAATTTTAACAAAGCCTCACCATGCGATTACCCCACCAAACTTGGAACTCGAGTGAAATGGGTAGCCATGGAAACACAGCCTACACATTTCAGTGTCCAAAAGCATGTACACATTAGGAACCACTTATACAAACACAAACAGGCACAAACACAGACAAGAAAATAAAACCTAATCTTAACCCCACTTAGAAGAACATCGCTAAAATAAACTAAAACGAGAGCTGTGGACTCACCCGGTGAGGACAACTACAAAGTCCATGACGTTCCAGCCGTTCCTCAGGTAGGAGCCCTTATGTAACGCAAAACCGAGAGCCAGGATCTTTATTCCAGACTCGAAACAGAAGATGGCTATGAAGTAGGGCTCTGTCTCCTCCTGCAGGGGAGAGGAAAAGGATGGAAAGGGAAAAAATGGGAGAAGGAATATAAAAAGTGAAGTTATGGGTAGTTATGTGAGTAGAAACACAAAGAGAAAGGAAGAGCAGATAGAAAAGTGAAATGTAAGAGAGAAAAAGAAAAAGGGTCAAGGAGATTTTTTTCTTTAGGGTTTTTGTTTTTAATGGCAGCCTAAAAATTCTTTACACAAATCGGGCATAACATTATCCCTACTGTTAGGTAAAGTGAATAACAGAGATTATCTCTTCATCATGCCATCTGTTAGTGGTGGGATATATCAGGGAGTAAGTGAACATGTGGTCCTCAAAATTGAGGAGAGCTTAGAAACAGGAAAATGGGCAAGCATAAGGATTTGAGCCAGTTTGAAAAGGGCCAAACTGTGATGGCTAGACTGGGTTAGAGCGTCTCCAAAACTGTAGCTCTTGCGGGGTGCTCCTGGTCTGCAGTGGTCAGTAAGTCCGAGGAAGGAACAGTGGTGAACCAGCAACAGGCTCGTGGGTGGCCGAGACTCATTGATGCATGTGGGAAGTGAAGGCCAGTGTTGTTAGATTCCACAGATTAGCTACTGTAGCTCAAATTGCCCCAAAAAGTGAATGCCGGTCCTGACAGTACGGTGTCAGAATACACAGAGCATCACAGTTTGTTGTGTATGGGGCTGCATATGCAGACACCTATCCACTGATGAAAGCACCACCAAAGATTAGAACTGGGCCACAGAGCAATGGAAGAAGGTGGCCTGGTCTGATTAATCATTTTGTCTTTCAAATCACATGGATGGCCGGGTGTGTGTTGCTTACCTGGTAAGATGTCAAGCCAGCAGAGGCTGCTGTGCATGCTGGGCCCTGTCATCCATATGGACGTTACTTTGACACATACCACCTACCTAAGCATTGTTGCAAACCATGTACACCTTTTCATGGAAAAGATATTCCCTGATAGCTGTGGCCTCGTTCAACAGGACAATGCACCAAAAATGCTTCAGGAATGGTTTGAGGAGCGTAACAACGAGTTTGATGTATTGACTTGGCCTCCAAATTCGCTAGATCTAAATTCGTGGGATGTGCTGGACAAAGAAGTCTGATCCATGGAGGCCCCTTCTCGCATCTTAAAGGACTTAACATATCTGTTGCTAGGATCTTGGTGCAGATACCACAGCACAGCTTCAAGGGTCATGTGGAGTCCATGCCTTGATGGGTCAGGGCTGCTTTGGCAGCAAAAGGGACCAAAACAATATTAGGCAGGAAGTCATAATGTTATACTTAATCGGTGTAAACCTATGAAGTGCTGAGAACAATATCAGTCAACATGGTTAGAAACCAATTTGCTCCAAAGTTCAATTCACAGGCCTGATCACATCAGAAATAATGATGTGATAAAAATGATGAGAACGTACTGTTTTTCTTTTCTTTTTTTAGCCTGTGTGAGTGAGCTCTGCATATTTGGTATCAGTGTGTCCAGTGTACCTCAACGGTCTCCATGTGTATGTACTTCCATCTGTGCGCACACTGAATATGTATGCATATGTTGCACATGTACATGAACCACATTTAAATGTGTGTGTATGTGTGTGTGTGTAAAATGTGTGTTACCAGTCGTTCGGACAGAGGCGTCTTGTCTCCATCGGGAAGGTGCTGTTCCAGAGCCAGGACGATGCAGTTTGCAATGATGGTGGTGAGAATCATCCATTCAAACGGAGTACAGCTGGAGTTAAAGCCAATAGCACCAGGAAGAAGCATGTGCCTCATATACAGTACACAACACTGCAACCATTCACACCACAAAGATCCAGCCACCGACACTTGCAAACATTTTTACAATGGATTTGAAAAGAAGTCCAGCCTGACAGGTGACATTTTTCTTTCTGTTGCTCTGAATGTCTGTTTACATATTCACTATTCTTTGTAATGTCACACAGCCAAGGAAATGTAAATCTGCATATCTCAGTGCTGTATTGGAACAAGTAAAACAAGTAGAACTCTTTGGTCCTGCAATGTTCTTAAATACTACAACAGAAGATGTAGTATTTAAGAACATTTAGAAATAAATATAAAGATGGGAGCAATAATTCAAATGAATAAAGACTAATAACAAGAACAGCAATGACAATAAAAGGGGAGATGGCACTCAAGACAGTTTAAAACATTATGATAAATAAAGTAGAAATACAAATATATAGAATTTTGCTACATATCGTATAGAAGGCAGGGCTTCTCTTCAGTGTAGCTTTTTTCCCTTTGTTTGTGTCCATTTTTATGTCTGTTACCATTTCTGTAAAGCACCGTGTGACTCATCTGCTTGTTTACCGTCTTTGTAAATACACTTAACTGGACATGAACTTCAGTTAATGTTGATTTTACCATGCCTTTATACGTGCCACTGCAGCGCATTACGCTGTTATTATATTATTTATTGTACTTAAACTTTATTTAAACAAGACAACCCTAGTGCGACCACCATGAACTTTACCTTCAACAACCTTTAATTTTACCGAACAGCAATGAACGCGAGACAACAACAATAAAAAAAGCCAAATAATGTTGCTATGCCTCGAGAATACTGCAGTACTTCCGTGTACGATTCTCGATATTCCATTTTCAAACTCAGACCCATCAGTTTGCCGAAAGAGAAAACCAATAAAGCCCGAGGGGAGATTGATTTGCTTTGTCAGCACACCACGTTGCACAGTTTTGTTTCTGCAGAAGAAAACGCCAGAGAAACAGTGACTGACGTTATGAAATTCAAACCGAAAATGGTCACTTTATTACAGCAGTACATGAGAGTTAAATTCCAACTCCCACCACAACACACACACACACACACACACACACACAGCCTGACTCACAAAGGTTGCCTGGTGGGGCAGCCAGCTTTTCACAGTGCTCCATCCAGTCAAGTGTGTTTGAATGGGTTGCGCTTTGCGTGTGTGTGTGTGTGTGTCCATGCCTGAGTAATGGCTGCTGGAGGGGCTAAGATGACTGGATACATCTAGACAGATCAAGCCTGTGCCTAATTGTCCAGTCATTATCCTGTTAGCTTGCATGTGTGTGTCTGTCTCTCTGTGCGCGCGCTAGTATGCGCCCATTGTCGTGTTTACCAGATGCAACATTGACACTGACACTATGGCCTGCAGGACAGCCTCTGTGCATCAGTGTGTGAGTGTGTGTGTGTGTGTGAAGGATAAGAGGCGAACGGCTGACGTGAGAGGATGAGACAGGTCGGTCTACGGAGTACACACTAACAAGACGGCACTGAACTCCATGGCACATGCTGGCTGGCTGACACAACACACACACCTATACTTGTGAAAGGTGCAGCGGTAAGAGGCAGACTACAATTTCCAAAGTTGAATCTTATTACTGGTGAAAAAGTGCTTTAGCCAGATGTTCAGTTATTTAGCCACTGGTTAGCTGTGGTAGTAGTGGTAGGTAGTACACCTGATGAACTGGTATGCTGGCTGTACTTTAAATAAAGCTATATTGGTCAAAGACAAAAGACCCACTATGGCTCTTTAAGGGGTTCACACCTATTATATTATTAGCCTCCGGGAGCGCTATTGAGCAGTAGAGGAGCTGCATTCTTCTTGGTCGTAGTTCTAATTATATGATGCAAAAATCAAAACAATATCACCAGCAATAGTCCACAAATCTCTCTCTTCTACATGGAAAACATCATGTGAGTAGTCAATTTAATAATAGTCCACTGGCCAAATTACAGCGGAGAATGGCAGCGCTACTGGAAAGACAGATGGAGAATGTAGAGACGAATTCAGATTCTTCCACCAAAGTTTTTTTTGTGTGTGTGTGTGGCAGTATAAACCATCTCAGTACAGATCATCCTTTCAACTGTCACAAACCTAGACACTTGTTAAATAGGTTTAGCCACTTTTCATTTAACTTTACCTGATCTTAGGCCTAGAAAACCAAAACGTATGGATGGTATCCTACTGCTTTGCAACATTTCGCTCCCCTGTCACAGGAACACTGCGCTTACACTCTGTGTTTCTTTGCTGTGCTTGGTGCGCCATGGGAGAGACCACTTTTGCCACTATATCACAAAGGAGAGGCCAGTATCTAATGCAGAAACAGTTCTGCTCACAGGTGTTGAAGCAAAAAAGCAAAAAAGAGTCGCAGAGTTGGAGCGTGATGTTAAAACCAGACGATGTCCAGATGTACCCACAGATTCTGTCTGCCATGATGTCCTAACCACTCAAATGACTACTCTGGTTATTAAAGGTGCTGAAGGCAGAACTGTTTCCATATCTGTAGAAAAGAGCTTTTTGTTGATCTAAGTGCAGGATTTACAGCACTTCACAGTGTGTAAGTGTTTTTACATGGTTACTTCATATTTAAGTTATTCCTTCACTTTTAGAATAACCTTAAAATGTATTTCATTTGAATAATCTAATTCAGGCCGCAGTGCAGAGAGTGCATGTGTATGTGCTTGACGACTACATGCTAGCCTGCCACACCATCTATTATTCAGCAGACACACACTCTGCTGGCCTAACAACCTGCTGAAAGCAGGAGGTAACACTCTGCCTGTGTGTGTGTGTGTCTTTCTCTTTCATTTCCTCCCATTCCTTCAGATCTTTATTTCTTTCTGTGTGTTTTTCATTTTATCCTCAATGTTTCTCTTTCCATTTCCTTCTTTCCTTAGTCTCCTCCAAATGTGACCATTCCTTGTTTTTGTCTTACTTTACCTCTTTCTGTCTGACACATCACTATTCATCTTTTGAGAAAAAAAGAGGCGAATCGGAAGCAATTAAGGAGCTGAAATTTCTGGCAAGGGTATTATTGGTGAGCACTGCAAAAATGAGTGTGTGTGCTCCTCTCTTGTTAATTAAAATGGCTTTCTGATGGCCACAAACAAGCTCTACCCTGCCAAATACACTGACCGCGCGTGCACATCCACACACCCACACGCACACGCACACAGTTATTGCAAAAAAGGTTTCTTTAGCATTTCTAAACCTACACAATCTGAATATATCATGTTGTCCTGTTGCTGTAATATACTATGCATTATTCCCTAATACTGCTACTACAGTAGGAGCTTTTACTATACTCACAATGCAATTGCAGTGTGGGTATAACAAAAGCTGCTACTACTGTAGCACTCTTAGGCAGTGAAGCTTGGACTTTTGTACAGTACAAGCTCTCAGCAAACTGTTAGACAACAGACACAAAGAGGACTGGCAGGTACTGCAGTCAATTTGCAGAAAGAAGGCAACAATTTGGATAGTTCATTAATAATTTAAGTCATTTTTAAAAAAGAGCCATAGATTGAGCAGTTGTATTATCGTCAGTGTGTCTCTTCAATTACCAAACAAACAAATTACATAAAAAATAAAAAACTATATGAAATAAGTTTGCAGAAAACAATCACATAGAAGTAATCAATGACGTTTACAATAGCCATCTCTTTGCTACATTAGAACAAAAATCATATAATAACAATGTTATAAATAAATTCAGTGAAAATTGTAAGAAATTGTAAGTGTCAGGTTAACGATGCTAAGGGCCATGAAATCAACAGCCCAGCTATGGTAAGTGTGCTGGTAGGAAAACATCAGACAGGAAGTGGTCTGGACTATCTCACCTGCAGGTCTTTCAAAATAAGAATGAGCGGATTGTTAACCCCTAAAGAATCGTTGAACTTCTTAAAGGTAACTATCCCCCAAACACACATTTCTAAATACACTTGTACAGCCAGTAATATACCCTGATGACCTATGACTATGTCTAAGTTTATGTGCACAAAACACTATAGACAATTTGATGAGACATTTAGATTATTGTTGCTAAATTATGGAAAAGTATCTCCCAGTTTTACTGACATTATAATTTAGTGCAAAGTTTTAAGTCGTTTTAAATTCCTTCACTCAACCTGACAACTGGGCCCTAATAAGATAAATATCACATTAGTCATTTTATGGCATATGTTTTACATCCAAAGACCTCTAACCAGTTCATTTAGTCTGGTTAATTTAAAAGCTGACAATAACAGGATTTTTAATACCAAATGTATTGTATTTGAAACAGATTTTGTGAGTTTTTTCGACCGCTGCATTATCAATGTCACTTTTTGCTGCATGTGGCAAAAATAACACAAATTAAAACATCTTTTGTATTTTCTTTTAATTTATAAGAAGGTTAAAAGTGTGAAACTCTGATAAATCAGCTGATATTTTTCTTTTTCACACTCAAAAAACAAAAAATGTATTTCCCTGACATTTCCTACACCCTGTTACTGTAGGTCATGGTGGCTGACTCCACAAAAAGTTGGCGATACATGCATTCTGGTCACTTTTTTACATACACAAACTTGCATTATGCTTTTGAAAAGGAACCTTCACAGCTACGTGATGGATGCATGTCCCCACTGTAGTAAAGAAATTTGTCCATGTAGACAATAAACTATTAACCTGCTCAAAATTCTTCATCTGTCCACACACCACGACCCCAAACCTCCATAAAACCGCCCACACCTATTTAAATTCCTCCATCTCAGTCATCCAGTGAAAAATGTCCCAGAGTACCAGCTTGCATTGTACACACACACAGACACACATACATGCCCACACCCGCGCGCGCGGGGAGGCTGTGTGTGTTTTCAGCTGATGAGGCATTTTGGCGTGGCGCTGAGGCTGTGCTTTAGGGGAGCCGAGCCTGATGAGGGGGAGATTTTAAATCACA